AAATACATGCAACTATCATGAATTTGAAGCAGATTATTTATTTTTTCCTAAGATTATTACTTGCTAGCCAGAGTCCGAAGTGCTCCTATTTCCGAGAAAAAACAACACAAGTCTACAATATATACCACAAAAACTATTAATTTTTGTTTAATCTCAAGCTTTATCTAAAGCCCTTTTTAACAGCAATTAATCTTGCTAAATGAAATATTTAGATATGTGTTACAGAAAAAGAAATTTGCCACAAAATTCATGTTCAAAATTTAGAAGCCACACAATAAGTTTCATAGTGTCGATTCAGTTGTAGTCAGACATGCTTAATATTCTGATTAGCCACTGGAAGTACCACTTAGTAGGGGCCTACTCAACGTTATGATTGTTTACCCTTTTTTTTTATATCTTTCTTCCGCTAGTGACCTGGGAAGTGTAGGTTGAGATCTAATCATTACTGCGATAATCTTAAATTCTTAAGATTCCAATTCCAATTCGTATGTAGTATACATAGTCCTAAGTAATGTACAGTAACATCTCCCAATTACGAACCTCCCAATTGCGAACTCAAGATTTTACGAACCGAACAATGATGTCATTACGAACGAGCATTTTTAACTACAAAAGCACTTTAGAAATAATTTAAATTGTTACATCAGCTAAGAGAGAAAACATTCAAACCAATAAAATAATACAAAACTAAAGCAAGAAATATCAATCCTTTTCAGGCGGGATATATTATATTTTAGCTGTGCATGCCTGTTCAGAAATACTGTACAGTAAATCTCGCTTTTTGATCATTGGGGGATTTGTGATCTTTATGAAAAGAATAATAACACTTGTTTTGAGTATTATATGGTCATGTTTTCATTCAGAAATCACTTTAAATGAATACTTCACAGTAAGCACAGGTAATTTTGGCTTCTGTAAAATATTATTTTGTTGCAGAAAACGGTGGGCACATGTATAATATATACACTCGCTCCAATAAACAGTGGTACCACTGGTGATTATTAGCATCGCAATATTGATGTTACGCGTTCTATCTCAGATCTAGTAAATACTACCATTCATATTCCCCTTACGGTGCGTTCTGGAATATCTCTGAATTGAAAGCAGGTCCCATTCCTGCAATATTACTACTTACGTATCAGTAATTTTCTAGAAATAATATACAATAAAGCATGCCCTCAGTCTGTCATGATCAAAATATTAACTAAGCGCTCTCTCAGCGTGTATGATCCATTCATGCAAGAAAGGTCTTATATTACCACAATACAGTATTTGGTTGGTATGAATGGTCCTTATCGGTAGGTGTATCGGTATTTATTACCGCATATTGCCAGAGCTTCTGTCTGAAGATGACTCAGAAACACCCTGTCTATATCAGAACTGGTTGGCAACCCGAAAATGCAGATTTGCTATATTCCATGCATTTGAGAATGGCAGCTATTTGTGGCTGAACAGCCATGTAAATTCAATTTGTTTACTTTAAAATTTATTTTATTACAATAATATTAAAATGAAATGGTCGACCACAGTTGAAAATTTGTAGAGTATATAATAAATGATCTGTGTGATTTGATAATACAAATGCATATACAGTATAAGACAAAGAAAATAAAGTGTATTATATGTCTACACTTTTCATGTAATTTAATTTTTTAAACTTTTACAGGTTTCAATATCAACAGCAACTACAAAACACAACACATTCTAAAAAATAATAACCTAGCCATCCAAAAAATGTACAATCACCTTGGTAACGCAAATGGTCACATTGGAATTGTTGCTGACCTTCACACTTAAAATGACCAACTCTCCACCTGCTAGAACTTAATAGCCTTTGCCTTGTTGTCACTTATGTTCCCATATTTTATCTGAGTACCTACCAATGTCATGGTCAACCCACATTTGACAGGAAATGCTGTTTGCTAATTGCAAATAATTTAGCATTTGAAGAATTGCACATAGGTGCATAGATACCAGTCTCTGGAATATCTGCAACACTTAATACAAGTATTCTCGTGTTAACCTATAGATTCATAAAATCATGTATACCATGTCAAACTGAAAGTTTTGTGACGATATTGCTCTAGAGGGCGACAAACTGAATTAAAATGAAAGCAAATTATGCAAAATGCATTTTAACAGATACAGAATTTCAATGTTTTACCAATAGGTAAATTTTTATTATAAAACTGTTGAGAAATATTTTTTAAGTATTTGAGACAGTGGCGGACAATAGGGCAAATTGAAGTGTATGCATGAGGTTTAGGGTAATGGGGAAGTGCTCCTACTAGATTCCATTCTGAAGGCCCTGAAAATTTTAGAACATAGTCCACTGTGAATCACACATTATATAACCTTTTTTTATTTCTGACCCATTTTTAATTAAGATTTTATTCTCCTCAAAATATTTGTATATAAATAGTTGTATATTTATCAAATTAGCAACTGGTATTCAAATAAATGCAAAGGTCAACTGATTCAAAACAATTAAATAATTATGGTAAAAAAGCCCAAAAAACTGTGTGTATGTTGTCCTTCAATGGAAACCAGATCCTAGCAGGGACCAGGGTTCCAATGCAAACAATATTTTATATAATAGTTTTTTGGAGGGAAGTGGGAGACTAGAGCCCTTCACACCAAAAAGAGAGAAAAAAGAGAGAAAGAAAAGAAAGGTCGTTGTTATGGATAGTTTTTTAGAAACTCAGTGTCACCTACACACTCATTGAAACAAAAAATGATCTCTCAATGTTTACGTAAATATCAGCCGCTCTCACGGTCAATGACAGCCGAGTGTCTTCAGCATGAGGACGGGTAGTGGAACTAGTAACAACTTTTAGAGTTCTAGCTAGGATAATAAGACAAAACATTTTTATGAAAGCATTGAACAACTTTTAAACTTGAATAAACACAAGAATTTGATAAATAGAGCTTGATTGAAGGGTACATATCATCCTCCACCAACAAAACATAAATGTGATACACCACAAAATATTAGTACCTGGACTACCAGACATTTCTCTGAGTTTCAGTTTCATTTTATTTCCAATCAAAAGACATAAACATTTCCTTTTCAAGAGGATAAATATGATTACACCCTCTGTGCCTAATACATAAACTACTGCACTACACCCTAATCCAAAATAGGTGTTTACGACACCCATGCCTATTGTAAACTTGCGTTGACATCACTCTTTAATAGTTAACATAATTCATAAACTACCTGCAAATTAACCCCAACTTTCCTGCAACACAGAAAATTTAATACCTCACAAGATACAATGCATTCCATTACTCATTGCAGTACCAAAGTAGTAGTCTTTGATGGCTGAGAAACTTGGGAAGGTAGGTCCTAATCCTAAGTATTTAAGATCCTTTAAATGCCATGCAACTAGCATTCTTGGATTAACCTGATTTACCCTGTACTCCAATCAAAGAGGCACCAACGGCTTTAGTTGCAAATTTATGCAAGATCTAAAATCTTATAAACATAAATTCTTATCTTCTAATCATTAGATTACTCTAACATACAATTTATGAAATTTCATCATCCTAACCCATAATTCCAGTCAATTCCTTTTAGTATTATTAATTATATAATACTTAAACTTCACTACCATTTCTTTTAATTACTAAATATAACTCACAAAATTTTGGGAAATACTTTCAATATTTAAGCTTTCATTTTCATCCATCCTCTTAAAATGCAATCATTAATAAACCTATTGTTGGTCAGCTAGTTTTATAGGTTAGAAAAGTATTGACTTGCAACTCTAGACAGGTGGTACGTAAATGAAAACCACAAGGGGCCTAGAGATCAGGAAGTTAATAAAAAACTAAAATACAACTGTATAATACTACAGGCATGTAGTGTTACTGGTGTTACAAATGCTGGTTAATACATCTAGGAGGCTTCAAGGCTAAGAAAAATCAATGGGACCTTAGGGCATGTTTCTGCTGGCAAGAAAAAAAACGTTTTTTAAAACGGTTTAAAAAAAAACGTGGAACGACGAAATTACAAAATTGGTTATAACTTTGTGGGGAGAGGATAAAGTAGGGGGGAATTGAAAGGAAGCGTGATATGCACATTTACAAGAAGATAGTAAGAAAAGTCGAAGAGGAGTTCGGAGTAAAGTTGACAACGGTTCAAGTAACCAACAAGCTTAAGCGTTTGCGACGGGCGTACACACTAGCGAAGGACCATAATGGTAGGTCCGGTAATGACAGGCAAATTTGTCCATATTATGACATGTTGGACAATATTCTGGGGGATCGTGACCTGCACGATCCCCCCTATGTGATGGTATGCAAGTCTTGTCGTCATGTTGTAATGTTGTATGAAACTAGGCCCTAGCCTAGCACTGTAGCAGGGAGAATACTATACTACATTACCGCCATAGGCCTAGCCCTAGTTCAGCCGGCCGATTGACCGCATTTCCGCCGCACGAACTGCGTTCTGGGATAAAATGACGTCATCGCAACAACGACCACACATATAGAAAACCGTTTTTCCTGTAGTCAAAAATTGGTTACAACCGAGTTTTTGTTTATAAACACTTTCCGAACCGTTTTTTAAAAAAACATTTTTTTTGGCGTTCTTTAGCAGAAACATGCCCTTAGAAATAGAGCTGGGGAAGCAGTAATCAATTACTGGTTATGGAAGTATAAACATG